ATTTGAACTACTAGCTTCCTCTTTTAAGTGAATGTTCACTTAATTTTTTGCAGGGGTGATGATTGGACTTGATCTGGCATACAATTTGCATTCTGCATTTGGTAACTGGTTTCCCGGATCAAAACCACTGCTAGCTCAAGCAATGAATAAGATAATGAAGGTAAACTTTCCCTTATTCCCTAAAATAAGAGCTTGATTCGATTTCCTTTGATGCTGTAGATCAGTTGGATTGATTTTGTTGGTTTGCTAATGGTTTTGTTTTATTGCAGTCAAACCCAGCTTTATATGTCTTGAGGGAGCGTATAAGGAAAGGTTTGCAGTTGTATTCTTCTGAGCCTACAGAACCCTATTTGTCATCCCAGAATTATGGTGAGATCTTCAGCAATCAGATCATATGGTTTGTTGATGATACCAATGTGTATCGTGTCACAATCCATAAGACATTTGAGGGAAACCTTACAACAAAGCCCATTAATGGTGCAATATTTATATTCAATCCAAGAACTGGCCAGCTGTTTCTGAAGGTTTGTTTTTCACTTGAATGTTGTCTATGGGACTACGCAGTTGGAGATTCTGATGTTGATAATGTGATATTTTGCAGGTCATCCACACTAGTGTGTGGGCAGGACAGAAGCGTCTTGGTCAGCTTGCCAAGTGGAAAACAGCTGAAGAGGTTGCTGCTAGCTCTCTATATTTGAACTACTGTTTTATCCTGCTCTCCTTTTCACGTGAATGTTCAACTTAAATTTTTTGCAGGGCGGTGATGATATGGGACTTGATCTGGCATTTTAATCTCAAATTTAAATGAGTTCTGCAATCGGTTTGGCTAAAACCAGGTTTCATCTGTTTGATCATTGAGCAACGTGCGCACTCTAAGCGATTACAAGTCACGTGGTCAATGAATAGAGATACATGAGGTTAAACTATTACCTTGGCTAATTTCCCTATAATATTGATTCAGACAATGGTAGCGGTTTGATACGATTTCCTCTTTGATTTTGTTAATTGATTCAGTAGTAGTAAAATTGGATGATTTTGTTGGTTTATGCAATGGTTTGTTTCTTTTATCAATTTGCAGATCAACACCCACGAATGCTTTGATATGTCTTGAGGGAGCGTAATTAAGGAAGATGGTTGCGTTAATGCAGTTGTTACTTACTTCTGAAGCCTCACAAGAGACTAGCTATTTAGTCAAAGCAAGAATTCGTAGTGAGATCTTCAGCAACAGTAAACAGATGATATGGTTTGTGTCAAAGCCTAGTCTTGTTGCCGAGTCAAAAGATGTGTTTGATCAGAAGGCCAGCAACAAATACTGGATAGATGTACAACTCCGATGGGGTGACTATGATTCTCATGATATTGAACGTTATACCCGAGCCAAATTTATGGATTACACAACAGATAACATGTCTATATATCCGTCCCCAACTGGTATGCTTTTCCTCTGTTCTTTAGCTCTCTATATTTGAACTACTAGCTTCCTCTTTTAAGTGAATGTTCACTTAATTTTTTGCAGGGGTGATGATTGGACTTGATCTGGCATACAATTTGCATTCTGCATTTGGTAACTGGTTTCCCGGATCAAAACCACTGCTAGCTCAAGCAATGAATAAGATAATGAAGGTAAACTTTCCCTTATTCCCTAAAATAAGAGCTTGATTCGATTTCCTTTGATGCTGTAGATCAGTTGGATTGATTTTGTTGGTTTGCTAATGGTTTTGTTTTATTGCAGTCAAACCCAGCTTTATATGTCTTGAGGGAGCGTATAAGGAAAGGTTTGCAGTTGTATTCTTCTGAGCCTACAGAACCCTATTTGTCATCCCAGAATTATGGTGAGATCTTCAGCAATCAGATCATATGGTTTGTTGATGATACCAATGTGTATCGTGTCACAATCCATAAGACATTTGAGGGAAACCTTACAACAAAGCCCATTAATGGTGCAATATTTATATTCAATCCAAGAACTGGCCAGCTGTTTCTGAAGGTTTGTTTTTCACTTGAATGTTGTCTATGGGACTACGCAGTTGGAGATTCTGATGTTGATAATGTGATATTTTGCAGGTCATCCACACTAGTGTGTGGGCAGGACAGAAGCGTCTTGGTCAGCTTGCCAAGTGGAAAACAGCTGAAGAGGTTGCTGCTCTTGTGCGGTCTTTGCCTGTTGAAGAACAACCAAAACAAATTATTGTTACTCGTAAAGGAATGCTTGACCCATTGGAGGTTCACTTACTTGATTTCCCTAATATTGTTATTAAAGGAAGCGAGTTGCAGTTGCCATTCCAGGCATGCTTGAAGATAGAGAAATTTGGTGATTTGATTCTGAAGGCAACAGAGCCCCAGATGGTTCTGTTCAATATTTATGATGATTGGCTGAAGAGCATCTCATCATACACTGCATTTTCCCGACTAATTCTGATCCTTCGAGCACTTCATGTTAACAATGAGAAGGCAAAGATGCTACTCAAGCCTGACAAAACCATTGTCACTGAGCCACACCACATTTGGCCTTCTTTGACTGATGATCAGTGGATGAAGGTTGAGGTTGCATTAAGAGATCTCATACTTTCCGATTATGCCAAGAAAAACAATGTGAACACGTCAGCACTGACACAGTCTGAGATCCGTGATATTATTCTTGGAGCAGAGATTACTCCTCCGTCCCAACAAAGGCAACAGATAGCAGAGATTGAGAAACAGGTATCACGTCCGCACACATTGTGTTTATGTTTTATGCCATGGTCTGCTTACATCAGTTTTATGGTTTTAGGCCTTGGTCAGCCTTTGCTGGTTGCTAACTAGTTCAACATCTGTTGATTTTATTTTTCAGGCCAAAGAAGCAAGTCAGTTGACAGCAGTCACAACAAGGACGACAAATGTGCATGGTGATGAACTCATTGTTACTACCACAAGTCCATACGAGCAGGCTGCATTTGGTTCCAAAACAGATTGGCGTGTCAGAGCAATATCAGCTACAAATCTCTATCTTCGTGTGAATCACATATATGTCAATTCAGAGGATATTAAGGTACACGTCAACCTTTCTATTTTCATTATGTTTATTTGAGCAATGTGTCTTATCTACTGATGATTGTTGCACATTATGATTTTACAGGAAACAGGATATACCTACATCATGCCCAAGAATATTCTAAAGAAGTTCATCTGTATAGCAGATCTGCGTACTCAAATTGCCGGCTACCTCTATGGTATAAGTCCCCCAGATAACCCTCAGGTCAAGGAGATACGCTGTATTGCCCTGGCACCACAGTGGGGTACACATCAACAAGTTCATCTCCCATCAGCACTTCCTGAGCATGATTTCCTCAATGATCTGGAGCCTCTGGGATGGATGCACACCCAACCAAATGAGCTTCCTCAGTTGTCACCACAGGTTTGCACAATTTTCCCAAGTCCAAAATTGAATTTACAGCCATTTTCCTAAAATATAGGAGGCGGTGATTATATACCCATGGTTTCGGTGCTTGACCTTGCATTTTTTATTGCAGGATCTTACAACTCATGCCAGGATTTTAGAGAACAATAAGCAATGGGATGGGGAGAAGTGCATCATCTTGACTTGCAGTTTCACTCCTGGATCATGCTCATTAACTGCATATAAGCTTACTCCAAGTGGCTATGAGTGGGGACGTGTCAACAAGGACACAGGAAGCAATCCTCATGGTTACTTACCAACTCATTATGAGAAGGTCCAAATGCTATTGAGTGACCGCTTCCTTGGTTTCTATATGGTGAGTGCAATTTTACTGCTACACAACCCTGATATTGTCCTCTGTTATTTAAGCAGTTGCTGGTTTGTTATGGAATGCTGCTTTCTTGTTTGGGTACTGAATTTTTTTTTTTCCTTGTTACTGTGATTTAGATCCCTGACAATGGTCCATGGAACTACAACTTCATGGGGGTGAAGCATACAGTGAGCATGAAGTACGGAATCAAACTAGGGACACCCCGGGAATATTACCATGAGGACCACAGGCCGACCCATTACCTGGAGTTTAGCAACTTAGAGGAGGGTGAGACTGCTGAGGGTGACCGGGAGGATACATTCACTTAAGTATACCATTGTTGGGTTCCTATTTTAAGAAGCATACTTAATGTTGTACCTTGGTTTAACTACTAGGAATTTTTGAACCCAGGTAGTTTTTGTTTCTCAAGCTTGGGATTAAAGTACTTTTTGTAGTAGTATTTGTATGCTACATATTTAGATCACACTGTTGTAAATCAGCGACTGTGTTCTTAATGAGATGTAAATAGTATGTTCTGGAAATGGAAGTTTATACGCTGTTATTGACTGGAGTCTTTTCATCTTCTTCTGGGTGGTGGGTAACGCCACTTTTGTGCTAATCATTTTTAGTAATCTATGGAAGTTGGCTTTATGACTGGTCTGAAGTTATAATTTATTTTGATACATTTGAATCACTTATTTGGTTGGCCCCAAAATCATTGTCTTCTCATCAGCATGGGCACAAATATTCCAATCCAAGGGCCTCATGCTATATAAATGGAGGCTGTTTTGATTATATTTGCTTCATCCTTTTTACGAAATTTTACTTGGAATCGTCATATAACTATTGTGAGTAGACTCTGCAGAGCACTGGAATTTTTTAAAATGTCAGTAATTAGGAGTTAAAAGACTTGACTATAGCTGTTGCAAAAATAGTATCCATCCCCATCAATCTCATCTTTACTTCCTTCTATATTTTCCCTTTTTTTCTCGGTTTCACGAACACTTCAATTTTGAGAAATAATCCCTGAAAGTTGTGGATTAGATTGTAGATTGAGCAAAAGAAAAAGTGGGCGACTACTTAAAAAGATTGTAGTTCCCTGTCATCCGCAAAAGAGGGAAGTTTTTTCTTCAGTCAAAGACAGGTAAAAGGACCCAAAAATAAAACAGGATTGTCAGTTACAAAGCAAGCACAAACCAAATTAGACAGAGAATCCAAATAAACCATGATCAAAAGATAATCTGCCATCTCAAATGAATGCACAACGACACGTGAGAATGTGTTATCATTGCTTTCAACTTTTCAAACCAAAACAATTCTCAAGAATACAAAACAATCGGTAAAATACACAGAAGGATCCATGAGTAACTGAAATATTTCATGGACTGATGACCAATCATAATCTACATAAATAAGACACACACCCATTCGCACAATTCTTGCAGCAGTCATGAAGCATCATCATTCCTGACAATTCTAATAAATGGATTGCCAGTGCCGCCTCATAGAAACCCAATACATCAAACCAGAGTTTATATTTAGAAAAATGCAAAACAAAGTATTTTTAGCTATTACCAGACTCTTCGTGCCCAATTTCTTTCACTTCTTGTCTCAGATCCTTCTCCTCTGAGATAAAGTCTGAGCCGTCTTCGTCCTTTGATACTCCATCATTGTAATCAGCAGGCTGGGGGCTTTTAAACAATTCATCATTTTCTAGTTCAGCAAACTTTTCCTTTGATTCTCCTTTCAACAGTTCTAAAACCTCAAGCATTGTTGGTCTTTTCTCAGGTTTATTGTGAGCACACATGAGAGCAACAAGAACAACTCTTTTCATCTCTTCTTCCTCAAAATTCCCATTTAATTTTGGATCTGCCAGCTCATTGAACTTTCCCTCGCATGCTGAAGGCAGAGCCCAATCTACAATTGTGCGTTTCACAGTTGGATTCATTTTCTCAAGGGGTTTTCTGCCACTAGCAAGCTCTAGCAAGAGAATGCCAAAGCTGTATACATCACAGCTCTCTGATGCTTTCCCTAGCATGGCATATTCAGGGGCAAGGTAGCCAAGGGTACCCTTAACTCTTGTGGTTACATGTGTTGCCCCATCTGGGATTAGCTTTGCAAATCCAAAATCAGCAACCTGCGCCTGGAAGTCTGAATCTAACAGCACATTGCTTGCTTTGATGTCTCTGTGGATGATATGTGGGGTCGCATGGTGGTGAAGGTATCTAGATTGGTTAAATTATGAAATTAGTATTATGAGGCAGTGTTATGAGATAGAAATGAGCGATGGGTTCGATACTTACGCAATTCCCTCTGCAGAACCTATTGCAATATTCATTCGCCTCTTCCAGTCAAGAAGACATTCTGCTGAGTGATGTCCGTGAAGATGAGATAGTAAGCTCAAATTTGGCATGTAGTCATATACAATTAGTCGCTCCTGTCCTTCAGCACAATAACCGCGTAGGCTCAGAAGATTTTTGTGTCGAACACGTGCTAGTATTTCAACCTCAACAGCAAATTCCATATCTGCTTTGTTGCTCCAGACCTTCAACCTTTTAACAGCAATCTAAAAAGAAGTCTGTCAGAATTCAAATCTAGTCTATATAAAAAGGCTACTAAATGGTGGATAAAATAGTAAGAAGATTAAAACTTAGAAAATAGAGGATTCTAAAAATTATGTAAATTACAGAAATCAAACAATGTCATGACCCTGTTAGGATAAGAATAACTGCAGTTTTGAGAGCGAAACTAACACTCAGAAGGACTTGAACCTACAGCCTCATGGCTTCAACCTGAAACCTGAATACCTTTTCAGTTATGTCAAACAGTGGCACTGGAGTTTCAAAAATTGCCAGAGAAGATAATTTGTTGCTATGCTTAGAACAACTAATGATAAGAAAATTACATAACGAGCTTTTGTAATGATGAAACTGGTAAGTGCACAGATGGTTTCATCATCCTTTTCAAGTGGTTCCTTGAAACCAACTACCTGCTCAAAGAACTAGGTAGAAAGCACTGTAAGTTAAAAAAAAAAAAAAAAAAAAAAAAAAAGACACTGGCTAAGTTGCACACGAATGGTTTCAAATCATCCTTTTCAAGTGGTCACTTGAAACCACTACCTGCTCAATAGAACTAGGTTAGAGCACTGTAAGTAAAAAAAAAAAAAAAAAAAAAAAAAAAAGATAATTTGGAGATACAAATCAAGTTACCTATGAATGTTAGAAAACCGGTTAGTAAAGCCAGTATGAATAAAGAACAGTCAACTCCACAAAAATCTCAATTTTGATAGTTCATTGAAAGAGTATGTACTTTTATGAATTTCAGGTAAATAACTGGAGAAAGAGATATCATCTGAAGTTGTCAGATTGACATGCTTCAAACAAAAACTCAAAATTTTTCACCCTAATTATTTGATAAAAAGGAGAAAGATCTCTTATGTTCTGAACTGTAACCTTTACTTCTTCAAGAATTTATTTTAAGCATTGTAATCATAAATCAAACCAGGGCTCCTCTATCACCTGAGATGATTTTGGTGTCCTGATATTATTAAGAAAAAAAATCTTCAGACATGAGTTTGTTGGGCTTGAGATTGATCCAAAAAAATTAATTTCTATGCAGAAAAGAAAATTTGCTGGTGTTCAATAAAACTTAAATGTAAGTGTTGAGATTTTAAGAATTGAATGTTAAGCATTCAATGATATAGATGCTTAAACTTTGCAATTGAAAATTTGTTTAAAAGCCCAGTGACAGTATTTTTAATACAAATTCTAAGTTAAGCAGGAGCTGCACGATATGCACATATTAATTGGTGCAGTAAACTAGTGCTCCTAACCTAAAAAATCACGATAGCACTACTTCCCATAGGCACACAGTGGATAGATAGAAAGAGGTATGCCCAATAAGGGTTTTCATATTTATCAACCTGTTTAGACCAATAAATCAGTACCAATAGAAGTAAACTATTAAGACATCAAACTTTCGTCTGAAGCTAAAAGAATATAGAGCAATAAATTTGAGATTCATTAAGGTGTTGGTCCCCTTCTAAATTGTCTTCTAAGTAAAATTGACCAGAGAACATGCTCAATGTAATAATATGTATGATTTATTTTGCATGGCAAACTAACTATAGAAGGGATATTACAGATAGAATTGACAAAAATTAGTTTTACAAAGATATGGAAGCTGAAAATTAAACCTTACTTGTGATCCATCCCAAAGCTGACCCCAGTAAACACTTCCAAATCCTCCTTCTCCCAACTTGTTATCATAATTGAAGTTGTTTGTAGCTGAGTGTAGCTCCTTCAAGGAGAAGATCCGCCATGTTGGTTGTTTCTTTCCTCGCTCTTTCCTGTATAGTTATATACCACATAATGAACAATGTTTTATGAAAATTATACTCATCAAAATATTCATCCAATTTACTATCCTTACTAACTCCATAAGACTCAAATTCAATGTTTTCACACTTCCTCGCTCATCTTAGTTTGTCCTAGCAGCAACCATTCAAAGATTGGTTTGTTTCGGACCAAACCAATTTAAAAGCTTAATCAAACAGGATCCCACCATTTCTGAGCAAACACTTCAAGATTGTTAACAAAGTCTAAAGCAAACCCATTTGAATTCTCATGTGCCACCAAATGAACATCATTTTTATCATGCTTGACTAGGATTTTGATTACTTCTCTTTGTCAACCATCTAAAATCCCCAAACAAAGCAATAATTCCTAGCAATAGCATAAACCAAACATACCCTCGAAAGAGTTACCCATATGATAATTCCCATCATCAGATCAATCCCAAATAAATTCCAAGCACAAATGGAGACACAAATGATCACTCAATACATACCCATACAATTAGCGTAATTGAAAATAAACTTACCGATCCAATCCTTTTCCACAGCAGAATATTGAAGCAAACGCCATATCCACCTTCACCAACCAAAACACTAATTATTTCTCTCTCTAATCCTTTCTTGTCGTCTTCAATCAGTAGTTATAGCAAATAATCAATCTTTATAACTTTTTGCTTTTATTACAGCAGTGGCGCTCTATCCGGTTAGTAAGAGTGAAAAAACTAAAGAAGGCGAAGATGGAGTGAAGGAAGAAGCAACGGTATGGGGTTTAGAGCAGACATCTTCTTATGGGTAGGTGATATTACTAGTGGTTTTAGCTGGATAGTATCAAAAATTTCTTCTTTTGCAGAGAACTGAGAAATGCGAAATTGAAAGGGAAAGGAAAGGAAAGGAAGAGTATGAGTTAAGACTTGTTTGATACTTTATTTTTTGGGCTTTGGTTTGGTTTGGTTTCTATGTATAGTTGTTTTCAATTTTCAAAGGAGTGTTGTTTGGTTACACTAACAGAAACAGTGCCGTTGGGAGTTATAAAATTTGTTTCATGGGAAGAAGAAGTGATTCCTTCCGTCATAAATTCTACAGCGCGTGCAACTACTCTCTCTTGATTCTTTTTAGTACTGTTCTTTTTCATTTATAGTCTCCAAAATCCAAACAACCACGCGCAGCTAGATGGGTAGCGTAAAAGAATTGATGCAAAGAGTGGGCCCTCCCTTACACCGAGCAAGCATTTTCAATTTGTCAAAACGACACCTTGTGGGGCCCATTGTGATGACTAGCCAAAGTTATCTGTTAGAAATTTCGAAGACAATCATATGCGCTGTTTTTTGCGATTTTTTTTTTTTTTTTTTTTTTTTTAAAGAAATTTGATGCAAAAGAGTGTTGCGACACCTCGTGTTTACAGCTGCCGAGCAAGTTTCATTTTCAATTTGGTCAAAAAACAGACACCTTGTGGGGCCCGCTTGTGAATTGACTGAGCCAAAGTTACTACATGTTTAGAAATTTCGAAAGACAATAATAATGCTTGGGCTGTTTGGTCATTGCGAATTTTACTATTTTTATTTTTTTGTTATTTTTGTTTTTTGGAATAATTTCCAGAGAGTTCTTCAAACACTATTATTAAGAGCACAGATATTTTATTTTAGGATTAAATGTAAAACATTTTTCCCATTTCCAAATAAAGCAAAGCCTTGAGACAGTAATACGGTGGGTTTTTTTTTTTTTTTTTTTTTTGTTTTTTGGATAATAGAGTATCTTCAAACTTTTTGAGCAAGATAAAATTACAGAGAAATGAAACATCTTCATTTCATAAAGCAAGCCTTGGACAGTAATACGGTGAAATTATTCTTATTTTGGATCTTCCATTCATCTATTTATTTCATTATTTTTTTTTATTTCTTAAGAAATCAGTGAACCAAGTTATTTATATGTTAACTCGAATTACTGATTTAATGTCTAACTTATGTGTCTGATATGTATATTATATTTTCATATGCTAATAACAATTGAGCAGTTTTATAAAATCATTTTATCATCGAAGAAATATATTTATTATAATGTAAATTCATAATTTATTTCATTCCTTCTATTTTTTTAATCAAAACGAAAATAGTAAGAAAATTTTGAGATTTATTTTTAAAAATGAAAATATAAGATAATAAAAAGTTAAAAAAATAAAAATAAGATGACATTAACGGATATATTCATATAATATTATGAGTAAAACTGTTTAGTTTAATCTTTCAAAAAAAAAATCAAATACACTTAAATTGAAAAAAAAAAAATCTATTATGAATTAAAAAAAGTGTATAATTAGTGCTTCAAAATTAGATTATAATGTAAAGTCATTAAATCCTCTTTGAAATCTCACTGTATAAGCCTGTTTGTTTCATTCGTTCTCATACTTCTTTTTATTTTATTTTATTATTTAAAGGAAATTAGGAGTTTGATATATTTTCTGATCTACTCTATGTTGAAACAATATTGAGTATACGATGTCGCTTTATTCAATCATATGCAAAATTTAATTATTAAATTTTGGAAGCAATCTTGTTAATTTTATAATAATCATTCGAGTAACAAATTAACTACCTTCATAAATAATTAATCTAACTACCAATCTTTTGGTAATTATGGATAGGGAGTGCTTAATCGTAATTTAGTAATTAATGGATAAAAACAGCGACTTAAAACCTGAATTAAGCACAATGTGCAGCAAAAATCATGGCAATGGATGAAATATAGTGAGATCCAGTTAAACTGATTATAACAACATAACTAATTAACTACTAATGGATAAAACAATAATTGAAGTGTCAAAAGGATTTTATTTTTGGATTAATAATTGATTAGTTCAATAATTAAATATTTGTCTTGTAATTTAATAGTTTATGTTGGTTTCTTTTTTATACTTAATATAAAAAAATAAAAATTCACATTACAGAATGTTTTGCTTTTCTACTTCTCTTCATTCTTCAAAACTAAACAAAACAGAACACAAGAAGATAATTGCTTAAAATAATTAATTAAATACTTCGTAATTAAAAATTAGTGAGCTGTGGTTCATTAATTAATTAGCACTTTCAGGCCTGGCTTTTTCTGAGCACATGGTGCTGGCTATATATATATATATAAGAAAAATATATATAAAGTTTTTGGATAAAAATTATAATTGCATCAATATGGTCCCGACTCCCAATTCCTGGCATGGAAGAAGCCCTACCAAATGATTGATTTCAAAGAAGGCTTACAATGTAAGTTATAAGACAAAAACTGTCTTATGTTCTTCTTTCTTTTGTACATAAGACATTGCTAATAGGTAATGTTTTTTTTTCAAAAAAAAAAAAAAAAAAAAAAAAAAAAAAAAAAAAAAAAAAAAAAAAGAAGAAAAAAAAAAGGTAATGTGTGAAATATATAAATGTTATGAATGCTATAGCTATATGTATTTAATCTAATAATTTAAAATTTTTTGCTCTCTATTTTACATGCCACACCTTACAATAAAAGCAAAACAAAAACAACAAATGATGATTGTTGAAGAAACCTAACAAAAGTTGAATCTTTATGAACTGAACAAGAGGATTTATTGATTGTACTTGCCATTTCTTTATCTATGGCAGATAGATGCTGCACTGATTTTGCTGAACTGGGTCTCCATTTATTACATAGACCGATACCCGAATCAAATGATGAATCCAACCCTTCTTCAAAACCACTATTAGCATCGTAACACAATCCTGTATTGTTATGAAGTTTGAGCTTTCTTCTCATCCTCCAAACCATTTCTCTTCCGAACGGAACCGGACCAGATAATTGATTATCATTTAATTTTAATTCACTAAGATTTTTCAAATTTTTAAAATTTATAGAAATTGAACCATTAAAACAATTTCCATCAAGACGAACGACTCTTAAATTTATTAATCGACCTAACGAGTCTGGTATTGGACCTTGAAAATTCGAATTTGAGAGAACTAATATCATTAAACTCTTCATACCATCAAATTGATCACTAGCAAGTGTAGTGGACATTGGATTTCCTTCAAGAACTAATGCTTGGAGAGAACTTAAGCTTCTAATTGATAGTGGAAGTGACTTTGACAAACGATTATGACTTAAATCCATAAGTATTAGTTCCTTTAATCCACTAAATGAATCGGGAATTGAACCGGTGAGCCGATTATGACTAAAATCCATTTTTATAAGAGAATGGCAAGAACCAAGGCTAGATGGGATTGAACCCATTAGAAAGTTTCGGTTCAAATCCAAAACATTCAAAACTGGAAAAGTTAAACTAGGTATTGAACCAGTTAACTTGTTTCCACTCAAATCCAACGACCTTAAACTGGTCAACCGGCCCAATGAAACTGGAATTGAACCGTTGAGATTATTTTTGTGAAGATCAAGAACCTTTAAACGAGTAAGATTGCCCAATTCACTCGGAATAGGGCCCACATGCCCATTTTCCCTGAGCACTAATGTCTGCAAAGTTGGGCCCAACTGGCCTAAAAATGAAGGGATCGGTTGTGGGTTATAACTAACGCAACGGTAAAAAAACAAGGTCCTAATATGAGGAAGCTTAGTAATGGCCTTTGAAATATAAGACTTAGTTGGGTCACAAGCAGGGAAGGCTGTGTCATCAGACAATGCACCAAAAGACAATGAAACGACATGGTAAACATTGTCCTTGTCAAGCATACACTCTATGCCGTGCCACCGGCCGCGGCAAACGTCGGGTATGTCGGTAGCCCAATCGTTGCCGGTAGCCTTCATTATTTCATATACAGCATCTTGCTCGTGGGCCTCGGTTTGTGCTCCGCTCATATTTGTTCCAAATCCGTTTCGAAGCCCATCTATTAAGGCAGATTGGTTGCTAGAATCTGAAACAATGACAACAAAGGGCTTAGCAATTGGTAATAAACAAGAAATGAGAAGTAGAAATAGAAGTGTTTGTGGAGAGAAAAAGTTTGCCATTTTGGAAAAAGGATTGTGAAGGGAGAAGAATTGTCGGCTTGAGGCTTAAATAGGGCTAAGGGAGAGAAGAGTAGTTAATGAGATGGGCCATAGAAGAAGGCTAGTTTGGTGTATAGAATAATGAGAAGCTAATTATGGGTTCACGAGAATGAGGAGGAGCAGAAATAAATTGATACGTGGGAATTTGAGCATTAATGTCTTTCACGAGAAATTTTCAAGTTTCATCAATGAATCTGAACTTATTTTTTGTCCAATTGTCCAATCTGAACTTAAAGCCTCTAAGAATATTATGGAACTTTTACTATCTATATCTACAAAATTTAGAATATTAATTAACTTTCTTAATTTATGATTCCAAAAAAAATACAGATATTCAGAAACAGAGAGCCGGTGACTTTTTGATTCTGAAACATCTATCATATAATAAAATTTCATTTTATAGTTAACAGAAAAAATATACAATGAAGCAGCGATTAATACATAAACAAATATTTTCTAGTATTTTTCTCTTCAATAATTACTTTTCTTGAATTTCAAAAATTATATTTATATATTTATTTATTAGTTATTTTTTAAAATAAGTTCTATAATTACTTAATGACTATTGTTTTTCATTTCATGTAAATATCCTACATGAAATCACTATTTTTACTGTGTAATAACTCCAGATAAAATTTTCTGATATAAAAATTTTTTGTTTCCATTATGATTTGATTAATTGTCTTATTAATACGAAAAATGAGATAACAAAAAAGTTACATCGGTATGTACCCCAAATAACGTTTTCGTTGGCCTCTAAAGAATATAAAAATAGGAAAATTCTTTAGTTTGATGGTCAGAAAATTGGGATAAAAGCCGGGCTCTATCCCTTTGGTTGCATGCAATAACATATACTTGTCAAAACCACAAAGCCACTTAGCCATGCAAATCGCACAATTCTTAGCTCATTGACACGTACATGCACTTGCAAGACATCTATATCCATTCCAATGATCAATCTTTCTCTCTATTTTTTTTTTTTCTTTTTTCTTTTCGTATATTAACACACATTTGACATATCCTGTTATTTTCAACAACTTAATATATGCGAACTCACTATTTATTTGCTCTTTTAATTCCTTTGTCAAAACCAAAACCCCCACCATAATCATGCAAGAACAGAAATTGGATATCAACACCTCCCCCTCCCCCTCCGCTGACAGTGGGCGCGTTAAGAGCTTCCCGGCTGAAAATATAAGGCTGAGAGATAAGAAAGTGAGAGACCTCATGATGGATAAGAGAAGACTAGTGGAGGTACCCTACACAGCCTCCCTGGCCCACACAATAAACACTCTGGTGGCTAACCGGGTGGTGGCGGTTCCGGTGGCTGCACCGCCAGGGCACTGGATTGGTGCTGGTGGGTCCATGATTATGGAGTCTGATAAGCAGACTGGAGTTGTAAGGAAGCACTATATAGGGATGGTTACTATGCTTGATATATTGGCACATATTGCAGGTGACGATCAAATGAACGGTGGTGATGGTGATGCTTCTGATCTTGATAAGAAGATGTCAGCCCCAGTTTCTTCCATCATAGGGCATTGCTTGGAGGGGCTTAGTTTGTGGACTCTAAATCCGAACACAAGGTGAGTGTATTTTGATATCATTGGTAATTATATGAAAAAGTGAGTAAATAAATAAATAATAGTTCAAGAAATTCTTGAAATTTTTAGGTTTTTCTTGTGATTTTTATGATATTGAATATTGTTATACAATTTGGGATTTCATTTTCTAGCTTAATTTTTTGTCAATAATAAAATTTTAGTACTTGTCATATATGTGAGGACTAGGCAACAATTTTCAAATTTAATTAGAACTTCAGCTACCAATTTGGTATACTAGAATTTAAACTAACTAATAATGAATTTAATAATGAATTTAATTAGAGTTTTGATTGTGAGGTCTCGAATTTCAACCCTAATTCGAGTTAAATAAACTGGAAAAAAAAATTGGATTCTACTTTTCTCCTATAGAGGAGGCAAATTTTTTGCTATTATTTATAAATAATAGTTACATTACCAATCTGTTTCTTCTGCAATTATGAACTTGCAGCATCCTGGATTGTATGGAAGTATTCAGCAAAGGAATCCACCGTGCATTAGTACCACTCGACAGTCACATGGACAACATCTCAGGCGTGGAGCTGGTAGAATCGGCCTCGACTTATCGAATGCTTACACAAATGGACTTACTAAAATTCTTGAAGGAAAATGCTTCTGATCTACAAACCATAATATCACGTAATGTGGAGGAAATAGGAGCAATAAACGAAAATGTTTTCGGTATAACTAGTCGAACAAATGTGATTGATGCCATCAAATGCATGAGAGCTGCAATGCTGAATGCTGTTCCAATAGTTATTGCATCCAATTTCCTTGAAGAAGATTGCAGGCAGCTTATAGATGTAGTCAATTTTTTTAACATTGTTCATAGCCTTTTAGCTGTTTACACTTACTGATTTCAACTTCAGGATAGTGATGATATTGACATTGTTCTATAATATGTGCAGGGTAAAGGCAAGAAGCTTATAGGAACATTTTCAGCGACAGATCTGAGGGGGTGCCATTTAGCTGCCTTACAAACATGGTTGCCTTTAAGCGCTTTAGAATTCACCGAGCATATTTCAGCTTCCCCAGTATATGCATCTCCTAATGCGTCAAACGTTTTGCCAAGGGAACTTGTGACTTGCTATCCTGAATCGCCTCTCGAGGAAGTCATCGACAAGGTTATTACGAAACATGTGCATCGAGTTTGGGTTGTGGATGAACAAGGTGTTCTTGTTGGACTTGTTGCTCTAACAGACATTATCAGAGTAATAAGGGCTTCATTGTTGTCGGGTTTATAGTAACATTTGGGTGTTTTAATGTTTGTGTTGTGTGTTTTCATCTTTTATTTCTGCACCAAACTTATTTTAATGTGTATTTAATTAAACTATTAAACTTTAATTGCATGTTTGCTCTTCCATCAAGTCACCATAAGTATTTTCCCACAAAACTTTTATTATGTTGGAACCATTTTTTTTTTTTAAAATAGTAGTAAATTTTTTTTTACAAATATAATAACCATAATTAAATATAATATTAATCTCTCTTAATCGGAGATTATTATATTATATTTAAAAGGAAAAAAAAAGTATATTAATTGATTGATAAGGAGGAAATTTAGAGATGTAAATCTCTTAAGTACATACACAAAGATTTATTTTTCAATATTTGCTGACAATGTCTTAATTTGATTATCCGAGAAATTTAATTTGATTTGAATAATTTTTTTCCTCTTGGGAAAATCTTTTGCGAAGAGCACTTCGACCGTATGAACAATACCACCTAATAATTAATTTCAAAAATATTTTTATTTTAAATCAAATTAATAAGTTTGTGAATAGTCTAAGTTTTGAGTGCATATTACAAGCATTTATTTCGTGTACCTGTGAATCATTTTCCCATCGACGTCATTGTAATCACCGCCACCTTTTTTATTTTTATTTTTTATTTTTTAAGAATAAACATAACACGTTTCTAACATTGCCATTTTTTTAAGTTTATTAAAGATGATTTTTTTATGAATTACGGGTTATGATTTAGTTGAAAACGTAAGATTGGACATAGAAAAAAATTTTTGGATTCGATTTTCACTAGATATATCTACAGTGAGGAGCCAAAAGCTGTGACTAAGCACGAGCAGAATCAGGCAGTCTCGATAATAGAATCCGAATACCGGTGGTTTACAAAAAAAAAATCATAATTTTATCAAAAAAAGAAAAAAAAAAAAGAAATTGTACATGTTTTACCTTATTAGAAACAAGTTGAAAAATGAATTATATTTTTCCTAAGAGTCTTTTATCAAATTTTTAGGTATACAAAAGAGAAAAAGAAAGACCAGCTAACACACAAACGAGAGTAGGCGACACCAGCTATATCATGACTCAACCATTGCTGAAGACCAGAAGGAGCAGAAACAAAAGAAGTAACACCTAAGCCCAAAGTAAAGGCATAAGAAGCCATCCAATCAGCGCAGAAGTTGGCTTCTCTATAGATTTGGGAGATGTGAATGCTCCAGTCCAGACGAAAATAATATTGAATAGCTAACACCAAGGAACGAACGGAACAAGGGATCGAATTCTTGCCTTGGATAATAAGAACTGCCTTAGCATTGTCACATTCAACAAAAACCTGAGCATAGCCTTGAAAGAAAGCAAGCTTCAGCCCTTCATAAATAGCCCATAGTTCAGCCTCTAGGACCGAGCACCTCTCGATACGAACAGTGAAACCTCCAAGCCAATTACCCAGCTGATCTCGAAAAAGTCCTCCCCCAAAAGCCAAACCTAACTCCCCAAAAAAGGAGCCATCTGTGTTGAGCTTAATAGAATTGGGTAGAGGAGGAATCCAAGAAATCCATTTTTCCACTCTAGTCGAGATAGCATCAGAAGAAACATTACAGCGAGTTTGTCCATAAGACAAAGCTTCATTAATAGCGTTACGGGCAAGAATGAAAGGAGGAGTGACCTGTTGACTAAAAACAAATCTGTTTCTATTTTTCCATCTTAATGAAACTTATTTACGGGAAGAATTATTTCCATCTTTTATCAATTTAATTAAATTAAAGTAAAAATTGTATCGGATATTTTTTATGAGAATAATAATATCTTTTGACGAGAAAAAAAAAAGATATAATTAAAATTTTTTTTCCGGTGAAATTAGTAAATTGGATTTAAAATATGGACGGATTAGACAAGCTTATCCCTCCAGAAATATGGCCATGTCAGCATTTGTGGTTGAAATAAACTTAAGAGATTTGAAACTTCACCACCGTCCTTGCATTGCACATCTAAGAGGATGACGTTTGTGCCTTTCCTAGCTGTACTTTTTTCTTTAACAAGGTGGGACCTTTCTATCTTTATTCTTTTGAGTTTTTGTTTGGCAAATAGCTGAAAATTTTCTAAGAAAAGTTAAATGGGAAAGAAAATTAGAATGGAAATTGGCCTTTACTAAATAGATTTTAGCCTTAGTGCGGCCTTAGAGGGGGAGAGGATTTAAAAAATTTGCGACCTTTCCCACACATTTATATTTTTGTTTATTAGGCACTAAAGAAGATTTAGTCTAATCAGGCACCTTCTACGCGTGTAAGAATTAAGAAGCAGCCAAACACTTGTCCAAACAAAAGCTCTTCCCTTTCTTTTTAACCTAATCGCAGAAGAAATTAACATTTTCTCTCCCAGATATTTACTTTCTCACCCACCATTCCCCTTTTCTTTTTTATATCTGTCTGTCTCTTCCGCATGTTCCATATAATGCAAAACAGTCAGCCATACATTCTCCTCTCTTTCTTCTCCATCACTCAGCCATGACTTCCACTGCCGTCGCCGCCACCGCCGCCGCCACCACCACCACCACCACCACGCTTCCTTCACTTCATAAGCGCAAAAACATCAACGTCAACACTGTCGACGGTGTTGAAATGGTCAAGAAGATCGCTAACGGCAATGGCGCCGTCGTCCATGGCGTTTACGGGTTTGATCCTTCGTTTATGAAATGGACAGTGCATGATGTGGTCAATGTAGTTAAGTTCCATTGGTTGCCGTGCTTTTTTGGGCTTGGGTTGTTGTTCTTCATGGCCGTGGAATACACGCTCCGGATGGTTCCGGCGACATCACAGCCGTTTGACTTGGGGTTTATTGCCACGCGCTCTCTCCATCGGCTGCTTTCCTCCTGGCCAGAGCTTAACACTTTGTTGGCTGGTCTTAATACGGTATGAAATTATTAGCCAAACCAAATCATTGGTTGATTAATAGATTTGATTTTGGGCAAACCCAATTTGGTCCAAGGGATTTTTTTTTTATACAGTAATCTATTGAAATCTGATATTTTCTCCATTATTTAACATCATGATTAGGTGTTCGTGGGGATGCAAACAGCATATATATTATGGACATGGCTAATAGAGGGCAGACCAAGAGCTACCATCTCGGCTTTATTCATGTTCACTTGCCGAGGGATTCTTGGCTACTCCACTCAGCTTCCACTGCCTGAGGTTCTTGTTAAACACTATTGTTTTGCCTTTGTTATTGTTTAATATTGATTCCCAAAAGCCAACGGGCGTTTTTTAATAGAAAAGTGCAGTCATTGATGGTAAAATATTTGATGATAACAGGGATTTCTTGGATCAGGAGTGGACTTCCCAGTAGGGAACGTGTCCTTCTTCTTGTTCTTCTCAGGGCACGTTGCAGGGTCTGTGATAGCATCTCTGGATATGAGAAGAATGAAGAGGTGGGAATTGGCATGGACATTTGATGTGCTTAATGTTCTACAAGCGGTGAGGCTTCTTGGCACCAGAGGTCATTATACAATTGATTTAGCTGTTGGTGTGGGTGCTGGTATTCTCTTTGATTCGCTTGCTGGGAAATATGAACAAACCAAGATTAAGTGCTCAAAAGAAGAAGCTCTCTTTAGTTAAAAAGACAAGGAAACAACTAGTATAGGTGTAGAGGAGGAGGAGTAGCCAGCCCATATCAGGGTAAAGGTGAAAATCAATGTACCTTTGATATGTCAAAAGACTTGCAATACAAAGAGAGAAAGGGCGTAAAATGATCTTTCATCTTTAAGCTAAAATGTCCACTTCAACTATTAACTAATCAAAATATCTCCATTAGGAGCTTCTAGGAAACTTGGTTGGTTTGAACAATTCAAGTACCTAAAGGTTTGGATGGAAAATGTGAAACAAAGTAATTATTTGTGCCCAGGTGATTGGATGTGGTGGCGGTCCTTAACTGCCTCTAATTGCATTTTGCTTGAATAAAGTCAAAGATTAGAAATTCTTGACCAATATTATTAATTTACCGTCTCAAATAATTGTTTTAAATGCATAGAATTACCTTCTGCGATGGTGGGGGGTTGAGCCTTACGTGTTGAAAGTTGTAACAACCATTTTATGCGTAAGAAACACGTGGAGTTGCATTAGTACATGAATTACTTCTGCCAATTTGTGAATTTTTAAAAGCCGGATTGGAAACTTGAAAGAAACAAATAACTGGAAAATATTTATACTTTTTCTTATCACTTTAGCTATGCCTATTCAATATTTTGATTTTTCAAGTAGAAAGTTTGGATTTGTATTTGTATTTGTAGAGGGGAAGAGCGTTATTTTCAAGAACTCCATGCTATTATAAAATGTCACAGACATCCAGTATGGTGTAAATGTATAGGCCACAATAGTAATTTTAATGGTATATGATTGGCAGAGTGAGATTAATCCTCCAGATCAACTGCGCAGGATCCATCATCTAAATTTGCAAGTGGGTTATACAAGTGTGAGCTAGGATCCATGCATCCTGTAACTATATCAAGATTGCAGCGATCACCCTGCAAATATTTTTCCATTTGTAGAAAATAAGAAGCTATACATATAAGTTCCAGGAAATATAAAAGTTAAACATAAGAATAAGATACATAACGAAGGTATAGATGAAAGCATGAAATTTACTTACTCCTTCTATGGACAAGTTACCGATCATAGCACATCTTGTAACAACAACATTTGAATCCGGAAAGATTGCTCTCTCGCAGGCCCCTTCTTTACTCAACTCTTCTGCCAATCCCTGCAATATCAAAACAATAATACATATTACATGCTACAACCAATATCAAAACAATAATAACTGCAAGAGCATTATTACCTCATTAAAGAATTCAATTGGTTTGTTTTGCCAAGGTTTAGGAACTTGAAACTGAAGTCTGTAAGGACCATCCCAATCAACTCCATTTGTGAATGAGAAGATCAAGTTCACAGCTGCAGAAAAAGATCATAAGTCACTAACAGGGACTTTACTGTTAGATAAAGCAATAAAATTTTGTCAAAAGATACCAACCGTGCTTGGGAATGCATATCTGGATAGTGTATATTGCGGGGTCAGCTTTGCCTCGAGTTTTCTGAAGCATTGCCCTTGGCTCGCCACCACACATAATGGGTTGATTAAAACCTCCTGCAAGAACATATCAGGAAGTCAAAAGATTGAATATTTTATTAAACGCTAGCAAAAGAACAAGGGCTAGTTAAATTGAATATTATGGGATTATAACATTTAAGTGAATACTGAATTTTGTGACCCCTACAAAATATTGTGCATAAGAAATTACCATTAAAGGCAATTCCAAAATCTTCATTTGGTTTAAGTTTTGTTGCAGCCGGATTGTAGAAAAGCTTTAGCTTCTCACCCTGTTACAATTTGAAACGCACTGTAATTAGAAAGATTTGTGACTTAAAGAGAAGAAGCAAATTGAGAGAGCTCTTAGATTCAACTTACAGAAGTTGGAGGAAGACCATTCATGGTTTTCCAGTACACGGGAGCCCTCCCGAGTTCGAACAAAGCCCAGCTAGGAAGTTGATACCTGTAAGGAACAATAATCGGATTATTGTTTGGACTACAAATTTCAGCAAGTTATATTGCCTACTGTGCAAGCAAAAAATCAGCAAGCCAATACTTCAGAATATACCCGTTCGAAAACATAAAATAGAATTAGAAAAGAAAAAGGCCTGATTTGGTCGCAAAGAAAACTTCCATACTACAGTGCTTATGATAAAAGCATGAAGCTATAGAACAGAAGGAATGCAAATTCATACTCTGTGATTTCGTCCGATGGAGTAGTGGCAACAGCAGCTGCAGCAGTCACTGTCCTATTAATCTTCACGGTTCTGTTCTTCTTCGTAGATCTTATTGGCAATGAAACACCAACAAAAGCACCAGCTGCAATTTCAAAGATATTAAATTTCCAACATTTAAAGCCTTCCCAATTTTTCATTTTTGTGCTAATTCAGAAAGAATACTCACTAAACACTACACAAACTTTGATCCGGATAGAATACAAATGAAGCATATCTGTAAAACATGCCATTATAAAATAAAGATGCATGCATGAGATTAGATAACTTGCTACTTCAAATTCAGAACCATAGTTTCTGTTAGCCTGGAATTGATTCTCTTGAATACACAAAAGGTAAAAAGACAAATTCTTTAAATTGTTGGAAACAAACCCAGGTGGATCTTTCCTCAAACATATATCACAATTGCTCTCTTATATTCTGGATTCAGTCACCAAAATAAGTTTACAGCATAGTAGAAACCCTCTGGCTCTTTTCCCCAAAATGGTAATTGAAGAGTTAAATACCAAGTTAAGGGTCAAAATTAGAAAAATTCAATCTTAGAAATCATATAGACCAATCTTCAAAACCAAAATTCTTCACAACTTCAATAGAAATCATCATCAAATGAATTAGGAACAGTTTCTACCGATCAGACAAAAGACAAAGACATCCAGAAATGAAGAAACAATTAAAGGAAAATAATTAGGTAGAATAGTTAAATTACACTCACCAAGATTGTTTGAGACGGATGGAATTGCTTTAGTACCAAGAGATGACTCGCTAGAAGTGTAAGGTTGCATTGCCAATTTAAAAATTGATGCCATTATCACACGAAGGTGATGCCTGAACCACCCAGAGAGAGAGAGAGAGAGCACTGTATAAGGAAAACCACCTTAGTTGTTGATAAGCAAGAGCAAAGGATATAGAGAGCTTTATAAGGAAAGACAATCACAATCACAAATTAACCAAGAAAAAAAATCTTTGGAATGAAAAAAAGACAAAAAAAAAAAAAACCGTAATTATATCTTCTAAAGCCAACAAATATCTGGATATTATTTAACCAATCTCAAATCCAAAATCTGAACGCAGCCATACAATACAAGGCTTTACCTCATGACCTCCTTATCGCTCTTTTTCACATTTTTTTTCTCACTATAAATTTGTCGCTTTTGACAAATACCCACACCACAGAAACGATAAAGCCATGAACTTCCTTTCAGAAACCAAAATCCCATTAGCATTATAAAACGTCAGAAAACATCCCATTTCCATATTTTTTGTTTCGATGGCTTTAGTCACCTCTCCATTAACCAAATCCAAGCCTTACCCTTTTTTGCCTCTTCGCCGAGCAAAAGAATTAAACGCAAAATCATTTAAGTTAGCAACCAACCGCAAACGGCAAAGTTTCAGTATTTTTGCTGATTCAAGTAAGAACATTAGCAATGGAGCTGCACTGGAAATAGGAAATAATAGTACTGGTCCATTATTTGAATCAGAGCCGGTGCTAAAGAATTACAGGAGAATTTTGTTATCAGATGTGGTGGTTACAAGAGAAAGGAATGTTTTTTGGGGAAGGAAATGGAATTCAATGGATATAGGCACTGCTGGTGTGGTATTAGCAACGCATTTGCTTAGTTTGTTGGCTCCATTTTATTTCAATTGGAGTGCATTTTGGGTTGCTTTTGGGCTTTACTGTGTTACAGGACTTCTGGGTATTACTCTTTCCTTTCATAGGAATCTTTCTCATAGAAGTTTCAAGCTTCCCAAATGGCTTGAGTACCTATTTGCATATTGTGGAGTTCAAGCATTTCAGGTTTGGTGCTTTTTTTTTTTTTTTTTTTTTTTTTAGGAATCTTTTCTCATAGTAAGGTTTCAAGCTTCCCAAATGGCTTGAGTACCTATTTGCCATATTGTGGAGTTCAAGCATTTCAGGTTTTGTTGCTTTTTTTTTTTTTTTTTTTTGCTTCTTTTTAAGTTGTTCTTGTGTTTAATGATTTTGGATGATTTTGTGTTATTTTTTTTTTTTTTTTTTTTTTGCTTCTTTTAAGTTCTTGTTTAATGATTTTGATGATTTTTGTGTTAATTAAGTTTTTGGTTTAATCTTGCTGTTGCAGGGGAATCCCATTGACTGGGTTAGCACACATAGATACCACCATCAATTTTGTGATTCTGAGAGAGACCCTCATAGCCCTGTTGAAGGATTTTGGTATAGTCATATTAGTTGGATGTTTGATTCCAGTTCTATTATTGAAAGGGTAACTTTCATATCTTTGTATTTCTATTAACTGGACTTTCAACTGAAATTGAAACTTGAAATTTTGATAGTTCTAAAGAAAATTTGAATATTGTAAGCAAAATTTTATTATTCCTCTCCCCGTGCATGATTATACCTTATTTTGATAACGGAAATAATTGACAGTGCGGAGGGCAAACAAATGTTGGAGATTTAGAGAAGCAACCTTTTTACAAGTTTATTCAGAATACATACATTCTTCATCCAATTGCTCTTGGAGTTCTGTTATATGCAATAGGCGGATTTCCCTACTTGGTGTGGGGAATGGTGAGTAATTTTTTCATTTTTTAAAAATTTAATAATTAAACTTATATTCATTGCCTTACAACACTTGTAACATTGCTTTACAAGTGTGAATATATCTGATTATGGTGGCAATATCATTATCACTATACTGTTGAATTCAAGCTTGAGGCCATTGCTTTTTTTGGTGGGCCTTCTTTTTTGATTTCACATATATTTACTATTCAATTTGTGGCTACTTGCTACACTTGCCTAACTATTGTACAATATAGTAGTTTGTCATATTCATCGTCGGACCATAAAACTTGAAATGCCTTATCTTGTCAATTTTGGTATTGGACATTGTTCAAATCTCTATTCTCTACAAGCACATGGATTTCTCAAGTTGCTTGAAAATGAACTTTGAGGCAGGGAGTGCTTGTACTTTTGACCTGAACAAAAATATGCTTCTCTTAGATAATTACATTTAAAGATCATATACTAATAAAATTTACCTTTTCTTTGCATTTTCTTTTTTCCTGTTAACTCAACTTCTTTGAAACCATTTCAGGGAGTAAGGATCATATGGGTTTTCCATATCACTTGGCTAGTAAATTCTGCTTGTCATGTATGGGGAAAACAAGCATGGAATACTGGCGATTTGTCCAGGAACAATTGGTAATTACAACAACTTAATTACTAAATCAAGTTGAATTGGTTTTTGAAATTTCTTTTTTTTTTTTTTCCTTCATATTGTTAATCTTATTGAGATGGTTCAAATCAGGTGGGTAGCATTGCTTGCATTTGGAGAGGGGTGGCATAACAACCACCATGCATTTGAGTACTCAGCTAGACATGGCCTTGAATGGTGGCAAATTGACATGACTTGGTATGTTGTGAGGTTTCTTCAAGCTATTGGGTTAGCAACTGATGTGAAGATACCCAATGAAATACAAAAGCAAAGGATGGCTTTCAACAACTGAGTTTCAAAAAATAGGGTTTTTGAGATGTTCCATGTTTAACACAACTTGATGATGAGAAATTGACTACTATATATCATGTGAGAGTTCATGTGACACATGGGGCATTAGCTTTTCTACATGTGGATGTAGCCTTATAGTAATGACTTCTTCACTAAAAAGATCAATTTGTTGGTTCTCCTTTCTCATTGCTTTTCATTTTGCATATACTACAATCGCAAAATTAAGGCATGTTTTGTTTAAAAATGATGCGTAATATATACAATATAATTAAAATAATTATAAAAAAGTGATACTTACTATTACTAAATATTAATTTTTAAATTTATAAATATTTAGTGATATAATTGAAACAGAGAAAATTAAAAATTTTTAAAAAGTAAAAATAGAATGCTAATAAAGAAAGAACCACCTTCCTTTTTTTTTTTTTTTTTTAAAAATAGAATGCTAATAAAGAAAGAAACCCACCTTCCTTTTTTTTTTTTAGCTATAATATATTTTTTTTTTTTTAGCTATAATATAATTATATGTTATATATGTTCAGTAGATTCATGTAGTTCTGTCCTCAATAATTATATTACAGATATTTGGTAAGGATTTTAATCAGCAATTACTATTTATTAGAAGTCTTAATCAGATATTGATTCTATCAACTAAATTTTGTAGATTTTCCATATAAGTTTTCCAGCTAATTTGTATCTATATTATATTTCCACTATATTAATCTTCTAAAAAAAATTACTAATAATTTTTTCAATTAATATTTTTTCGTCATCATTTTGTTATAATTATCTATAAATTATAAATACTTACTAACTATTAATATAAATAAATAAATAAATTTTTTTATTTATATAATACGACCTTAGCTTTCATTCTTCCATCGCTAGATCAGCCTGGTGCAAACTAGGTCCACCGCTTTTCTTGGGTTGGGCTGCAATTCAGGATATATGGGCTAAAGACCCTTACAACTCTCTTCATGTAATCATGTGTAAATTATACTTTGTTTTCTTTTTTTTTTTTTCTTTTTCTTTTTTTGCCAACAAATACTATCTACAAGAGATATTATATAATTTGCACTACCGGCAAAAATTACAACGACATTAGAATCTAAGGACAATACGACAATACCAAAGCTCATTAAAAGCAGTCCAATCAAAAAAAGATATAAATATATATTACAATTAAAAGTGATGGGAAGTAACACAGAATCTGACCTCACAACAAAAACTTCCCCACTTGAATGAATCTATTAGGAGTAACAATGAGCAACAAATTCAAGCAACACAAGCTGACCCAAATCATACACAATCAAAAATAACATTATACACAAATCAAAAAATAACAGTTCACCACTCATAACACAAATCTTTTTAGTGTGGAAAACTCTTCCGGTGTGAAGGATAAAAACCACGGGACCTCTCCTCGCGTCCAAAGGAAATAAAGTTCACTTATCACAAATATTTTTTTCTTACAAACTTACAGCAAAGCTACAACCATCAAAATATGTAAGCTATACCACAAAACAACCCACAAATAAATGTGTTGGAACACAATAGTAGAGTGATCACAAAAACACAGCTGTTGTTCTCAATACATTTTAAAAAGTTCTACTTCATCCAAAAATTAAACTGATCAGCCAGAATCCAAGAGTTGGATGTTAGGAACAAAGCCTCACCAAAAATCAGCTTCAATCCGACAAAGGAGACTGACCGAAAACGCTGAAGAAGAGTGAAGTATGCAGAGCTAGAAGCCCAGAACAGGGACAAGGCTCGGATTCAGACCCAGAAACTCATCTCTGAACCTAACAAATGAAAATCCCTAGGTGAGAATCAAGAACAGAAGAGAAAAGAACAACATACCAAAAAATTCACAACGATCCCAACGGTTGAAACGTCCAGGAATCTCCAGAACACGGTGGCTGGTGCTGGATGGGCTGTGCAGAAAAACCCTCTCCTCTCCTGCGTGTTTTTCGTCACAACGATCTTCTGGTTGTGTCGATCAAATGAGAGGCCAAAAAATATGTAGGAATTATTGGGCTGTTAGTTGAGGGGCATAAATTGTTAAAACAATAATTAGTTGAGTGGACTTCAAAATTGGGCTTTTACCCACATAGGAAGGAACCCAATCCCAAACATTCTTCCCCCTTTCCCGACTATGTGGAAGAGGTGCCCAAACCAGGCACTCAAACGGCATATTTTCAAACTTCATTCTTGGTAGAGACTTTTGTGCACATATTCAGCACCATGTATCATCCGTATGAATTCTTCTCAAGCTCAATTGACTTAGAATCCAAAACATCACGGATCCAATGATAATCTCACATCATATGTTTAGATCTACCATGAAAGTTGGATTTCTTTACCAAGATGGGAATAAGCACTCTGGGCTATTCGCAAAAGCAAAATAAAACATACCTTTCCTGAGTAAAGCCAAGCTCATTCACAAATTTTTTCATCCATAGCAACTCCTTGCATGCTTCAGTAGCTGCAATAAACTCAGCCTCTGTAGTAAATAAAGCAATACATTTTTGCAACCTGGATTGCCATGCCACAGCTCCCCCTGCAAATGTAATCAAGTACCCAGAAGTAGACTTTCTAGAATCAATATCCCCAGCCATATCGGAATCAGTGTAACCACAAAGCATAAGCTTTTCAGACCCAAAACACAACTTCAAACCTGAAGTACCACGGAGATATCTCAATATCCATTTAACTGCATTCCATTTAACTGCATTTCCAATGCTCCTTCTGGAATTAGAAAGAATCTCTAACGTACCAATTGCAATGAGCTATATTGGTCTAGTACAAACCATAGCATACATCAAACTTCTACTGCAGATGCATAAGGAAACCTTTTGCATGAATCTTTCTCTTGCTCATTGGAAGGAGACTGCTCACAACTCAATCTAAAGATGTAGGGAGAGGTGTAACTTACACCTTAGCCTTAGCCAATATTGAACGTGTAGTAACCTTCTCATAGTACTTCTCTTGTGAAAGCCATAATTTCTTGCATCTTCTGTCACGAATGACCTTTATGCCAAAGAAATTTCTGCTTTGCCGGCTAAATCCTTCACTAAAAAAAGACTTGCCAAGTCTTCTTCAAATTTCATAATTCTGGAGGAGTAGGACCTACAAATAAGCCCATAATCATCCAACATACAACAGCAAATGATAAAGTCCAATTGTCAGAAAAAACTTTGCACAAAAACACAATGAAATCAGAAGTAGTCTTTTTGTAGGCCTTGCTGAACCATAAACAGACTTCAAACTTCTTATACCATTGGCCTGGTGCTTGTTTTAAAACCATACAAGCTTTTTCAAACTTGCAAAACATAATTCTTTCCTTTGCCCTTCACCACAAAACCTTCGGCCTGCTCCATATAAATTTCCTCTTCTAAGTCACCTGGAAAGAAATGCACATCCATCTGCTCAATCTCTAAATCAAGTGTAGCAGCTAAACCCAAGATAACCCTGATGGAAGACATCTTAACCACTGGTGAGAAAATTTCTTCAAATCAATCCCCTTTCTCTGATTAAAGCCCTTGACAACTAATCTCGCTTTATACCGTGGGGATGATGAATTCTCTTCATGCTTCACCTTATAGATCCACCTATTCTTCAAGGCTTTTCTATCTTTAGGAAGCTTTACCAGTAGGCTTTTCTATCTTTAGGAAGCTTCACCAGTTCAAAAGTATCATTGTCATATAAGGATTGCATTTCATCTTTCATAGCAATAATCCATTTTGTCTTTTCCTCACTCTCAACAGCTTCTTGGTAGCATTCTGGCTCATTTGCATCTGTCAACAATACATACTCATTAGGAGAATACCTTGTAGATGGAATATGATTTCTGGTAGACCTTTTGACTGGAGCCTCTTGTTGTCCCTCAAGTGTCTCATACTGATCATCAGTTGCATCATCTATAGGAATATCAACCTCATCTGCCTCTTCAGTATTATCCTGAAGATCAACCTGATTTCTAACATAAGATCAACCTGATTTCTAACATCAACTGCAACAGGTGTTGAAGCTGACGGAACTAGATCTACATCAACCAAGCTATTATTCTGAGGTTTTGATTTCTCCACTTTGCCAATATCTTCAATAGTCTGATATTCAATAAAGACCACATCACGGCTTCTGTAAACTTTCTTCTCAATAGGATCATAACACCTATAGCCAAACTCATCTTGACCATAGCCAATGAAGATACACTGTCTTGTCTTTGGCATCTAGCTTGGAGAGACCTTTCATCTTTTAGGAACATGAACAAAACATTTTGCAACCCAAATAACCCGTAGATGATCATATGAAGGGCTTCTTACCATACCAAAACTATCAGGAACAATCATTATTCAAAGGAACGGTAGGAGTAAGATTGATGACATTGCAACCTGCATACAATGCCTCACCCCAAAGAGAATAGGTAGTTTTGCATCTGAAACGCGTACATCTAACTCCTAACTCTCTCCATCAAAGTTCTATTCATCCTTTCTGCCAAGCCATTCAACTGTGGAGTCTTAGGAGGTGTCTTCTGATGTCTGATACCATGCTCTCGACAATAGGAATCAAATGGCCCACAATATTCACCTCCATTATCAGTAAGAACACATTTCAACTGTTTACCTGTTTCTCTCTCAGCATAAGTGTGAAATTCTCTAAATGCACCGAGTACCTGATCCTTTGACTTTAACACACGAACCCAAAGCTTTCTTGACTGATCATCAATAAAAGTCACAAAGTACTGTGCACCACCAAGTGACTTATCCTTCAAAGGACCACATACATCTGAGTGTACGAGCTCTAACAACTCTTCTTTTCTAGTTCTAGAAGGAGGATGATGTTTAAAGGAGACCCGTTCTGTTGGCCAAACAATGCTCACAAGTGTCTAACTCCCCACCTTGTAAACCAGAAAGCAAATTCTTCTTAGTTAGAATATTCAGACCCTTTTCACTGATGTGACTCAATCTCTTGTGCCATAATTCTGTTGAACTATCATTTTCAACTGCATTCACAAGATCTGTAGGGATAGTGTTTTCGCCCAAATCTCCCCGGAGGACCCAAAAACATCCTTTTGCCGATAAATCGGTCTTATAAAGTATTTGAGTCGCCACCCATTTTTTCGGCAATGGGACCGTTTCCAATTTTATTTTATAAAAGTGACTTCGTTTAACCCAATTTTATTT